GATATAAGAACTGAAAGGTCTTCAGAATTTTTTTTTGTTCTTATATCATCCTTCCAGACTCCAAAGACAATTGTAGTTAATGAGCATTTTGGTTTTGATCTGAGCAGGCTTTAGGTTATCGCACTGCTGCTGCTCTTTCAGCCTCTCTTTGTTCCTATTTGTTACTCACTCATTATAGCTCATCTACAAGGGTCAACTGTAAGCTTTCTTGGGAAATGACTACATCTTCCTCTGTAGGAATGAAAAAGATAATAGATTTTGACAATATAATTAGCATAGCTAAATTCTAATATAAGCACAAACAATAACATGCAATTATTTGCATTCACTGTCTGACACTTCAGCCACAAATTCTAAACTGTCTTAGTACCTGTTCATGTCATCATAACAGGAAAAGTTCATCAAGCCATTAACTTGGCCAAAACAGCAAACAGGCTGCAAGAAGATTAAACAACATTAGTGCTGTGGGGGTTCAAGAACACTTTCAGTGATGAGTACTGTAAGAGAACAGGAACATCACATATTACACAGCCACCAAGATAAGATTTTCATACTTCCATATGCTTTTTCATTTACAGTTCTTTTATTTGTTCCAGAGTGAACATGGAAGGTATTACAAGGCAGAAATATTCTCCTGTTTCATACTGTTTTCTCTTTAAACTCCTACAGCAGCAACCTAATGCAGCACAAATGACTTGAAGCATATAATGTCACTTGTAACTTTAGCAGCCCCATAGAACCTTTCCTCGCTTACCAATAAAATGACTGCAGCTGACTAAGCATCAGCCTGGTTTTAAAAAAAGAACAGCACTGGAGGCAGTAACATATCATTTAGAAATTAGCTGTTGAAGTCAATACAGATTAAAAAAAAGATGCATTGATAGAACACCTTCATTTTCTACCATCTGTCCTCCCCAAACCCTTCCCCTCACTCCCAAAGAAGCATTAAACTTACTTCATACGCATAAGATCTGGCAAGGTAGAAATTCCTCATTTCAGAATTAAAATTGGTTGAGCTATTTATCTCATCACCTGCAACCCTAAACTAGAACCAAAAATAAAATATTCTGCCATCTATATATTACTGCAGGACAAATTCCAGTCCAGCTATATTTTCAATAGCATTCTGTGGGTTACAAGCTAGTTTGACCAGACTATTTCAAGGTGACTGCATTTTTACATAGCATATGCCTGACACCATGGGTACAATTACTACTACAACGTAACTTCAGTTTTCATGGGTAATTAATTGATAAATGACAGCCAGCTCCTTTTTAGCTGCTACATAAGTCCTTTATTAACACATTTAATTCAATAAAGAGAAAGATAATACAAATCATAGTGAAGGACAGAGAATCAATTTATTCATTTTCATACACTGACTTTTGGAGTGCTGAGTAACAGAGCACAGCTCATTGCTTTTTCTTAGGATGGGTCATCTTCATCCATGGGAAACAAAGCAAAATCAACAGACAACACTCTTTTAACAGAATAGTTAAAAATTAAGCTGAGGAAAGGATAAGAATCACTCAAGCCCACCCCTTTAGGTCAGTAATTGTGACTGCAACATCACATGAGGAAAAGTAAATGAAGACACTGAACACAACATGACCCCCTGGAAAACAAAAAAGGAACAAAAAGCAGGATAACAAAAGAGAAACAAAAACTGCAAAAGGAGGATGAGAGCAAAAAGTTCAAAGAAAATTAGACTGTGTTTATAGAAAAACAATGACCCGGGTTAAAAAGGATCACAATGATCATCGAGTTTCAACCCCCCTGCTATGTGCAGGGGCACCAACCACCAGACCAGGCTGCCCAGAGCCACATCCAGCCTGGCCTTGAATGCCTCCAGGGATGGGGTATCTGCAAACTCCTTGGGCAACCTGTTCCAGTGCGTCACCACTCTCTCTGTGAAGAGCTTTCTCCTAATATTTAACCTAAACCTCCCTTATCTCAGCTTAAAACCATTTCCCCTTGTCCTACCACTATCCACCCTCATAACAGCTGTTCCCCCTCCTATTTACATGCTCCCTTCAAGTACTGGAAGGCCACAATGAGGCCCCCCCAGAGCCTTCTCTTCTCCAAGCTAATCAAGCCCAGTTCTCTCAACCTTTCCTCATAGGAGAGGTGCTCCAGCCTTCTGATAATGGCCCTCCATCAGGCCCGCTCCAAGAGCTCCACACCTTCCTGTACTGGAGGCAGTACTCCAGATGGGGCCTCACAAGAGCTGAGAAGAGGGGACAATCACCTCCCTCTCCCTGCTGGCCACCCCTTTTTTTTTTTTTTTTAAAAAAAAAAAAGCAGCCTAGAACACAGCCTTCAGGGCTGCAAGCACACACTGCTGGCTCATATCCAGCTTCTCATCTACTAGGAACCCCAAGTTCTTCTCCGCAGGGCCCTCAAGGAGATCTTCCCCTCGTTCATATAAATACCTAGGATTGCCCCAACTCAAGTGCAGCACCCTGCACTTGGCTTTATTGAACTTCATTAGGTTTTCATGGGCCCACTTCTCCAGCCTGTCCAGGTCCCTCTGGATGGCTTCCCTTCCCTCCAGTGTATCAATTGCACCATTCAGCTTGGTGTCATCTGCAAACTTACAGAGGGTGCACTCGATGCCATCATCTATGTCATTATGAAGATGCTGAAGCACCAGTCCCAAGACCAACCTCTGAAGGACACTGCTTGTGAATGGCCTCCTTGTGACCTGACACAGAAACACTGATCACAACCCTTTGTCTGCATCCAGCCAGCCAATTCCTAATCCATCAACAGTCCGTCCTTCAAATCCACAGCTCTCCAATTTAGAGAGAAGGATGTGGTGAGGAACGATGTCAAAGGCCTTGTAGAAGCTCAAGTAGATGACATCCACCACCCTTCCCTCAGCCACCATAGTTGTCACTCCATCATAGAAGGCCACCAGATTGGTCAGGCACAATCTGCTCTTGGTGAAGCCACACTGGCTGTCTCAAAACACCTCTTTATCTCATATGTCTTAACATAGCTTCTAGGAGGATCTGCTCCACAATCTTCCCAGGCACAGAGGTGAGGATCAGTAGCCTGTAGTTCCCCAGGTCTTCTTTTCTTCCTTTCTTAAAAATGGGAGTAACATTTCCCTTTTTCCAGTCACCTGGGACTTCAAACAGCCATGATTTTTCAAATATGATGGAGAGCAGCTCAGCAACCACATCAGCTACCTCTTTTAGAATCCTAGGATGGATATCATCTGGCCCCATGGACTGATACATGTTCAATTTCATGAGGAGGACTCAGACTTGTTCCACCATTACAGTGGGACAGAAACCACTCCACATACCCTCACCTAGAGACTCACAGTCCTGGCAGACACGGGAAGCCTGACCACCCATGAAGACTGAGGGAAAGCACTCATTGAGTACCTCAGTTTTTTCTATGTCCTCAGTTATTTCTATGCCAGTTCCCTATTACCTACCATCAGAGGGAGAACACACTCCTTGGCCAGTCTCTTCCTGCCCATGTATCTGTAAAACCCCTTCTTGTTATCTTTCACATCTGCTGCCTAGTTCACCTCCATCTGCACCTTAGCTTTCCTAATCCTATCTCTATACACACAGACAACAGTCCTGTATTCCTCTCAGGATACACAACCCTGCTTCCACTTTCCGTATATTTCCCTCCTTTCTCTCAGTTGATGAAGGAGAGTGAAAATTTTAATGATTCACAAAAATATGTACAAGTATTCATCCAGTGAGAGATCTAAGTGTAAAGACATAATGTTATTGAAGGACACTCAAAATAGATTTCACTTCTGTGGCACGAAGAACAAAGAGCTAGTGGAGCCTTTACTGGAGCTAATATGGTATATTTTAATATAAGAACTCCTGCAAATTTTCTAATGAAAGTCATCTATCAGAGTCAGCAAAACCTCCTTTTCACTTTTGTGAATCCAAATTTTAGTTGGGCATTAAAATAGAGCTATCTAGAAACTCGTTATACTGATGTTGTCAAGCTGAAGTGAAACAAATCATTTACACTTCTGAGACTGAATCTGTAAAAGGAATTGCAAAATTGAAATGCACATGTCTAAAGAATACTCCTGATAATGCTAATTACAAACCATGTCCTGTCCTAAACTGTCATCTACAAAACAATGATGACAAAAGTTGTCGAACTGCTCTTTTTCATAAAGCGAACTGGTTCAGTACCTTCAGACAGGCAGCAAAACACAATTCTGACTGGCTTCCAGGAGAACGTCAAAGTGAAAAGGAGTACTTTTTAGTAGTGTCTTTAAGTACCCTAAATGCCTTTAAAATATTTAGAGCAATGAAAAGCTATTGGACAATTATAGTCCTGTTATGATATTGCAGCACTTGTGAAGACTTTGGCTTAGATTTAGGAAACTAGTCAATCAGCTATCTAATATCAACCTCGTAGAGCTTTTAGAATGAGTACCTAAATACAGTTCATTTGGATTAAGATATGACCCAACTACTTTTGTATATACTTCTTCAGGCTTGTGTGGAGGTTCAAAATTGGAGTTACTCTGCTATATTAATCCAAAGAATAAAGATGAATTTAATGTGCATGTAGTAATTCAATACAGAAGTTACTAAGATATGTGAGAATACATTGCTCGTATCAGTAAAATTTGCCTCAAGATTTTCTCCTAAAATACTTTTCCTTAACTGTGAGGAAGAATACTTTCACTAACAGGTATTTTGTTTCTTTGTGCATGTTCAGTCCCTGGAACAATTCATACAAGAAAAACTGGTGGCAAGTTTCTCACAGCATATTCCAGATCAAAGACAATGGGGCACAGTTCTTTTTCCACAAAGACAATGGACGGGCATAAACGTAGAGAAAACCAGAAGTATTCCCTAGTGTAGGTTCCTGTTAAAATAAGGCTTCTAAGCAGCTGCTTTCCACACAACCTTTTGCAAGCTTCAGGAACAGCTTTAAAAAAAAAAAAAAAAAAAAACACCCACAACTTAGATCTGCACTCCAAGGGCAAACCTCCATGGCTGTCTAATTATATCTGAGATTTTTCTACTCCTGTAAGACGCAAGAAGCAACCAAGCAATAAACAATGAAAGCAATTCTGTGCTTAAATATTGATATCTAGTGTTACTTTAGACACTGCGAGCAAAGACATCTGCCCAGAGAGCATCTCAGATGGGATTTCAGGGGAACATTCTAAGAGACAGGGCAATTGCTGTTACATGTCTAATTCCTTTAACAGAAAGTTTACACTGTTTCCATATTTATTAGTTGAGGCTATGATCCTTAGAGTATCACACACCATTTTACTTCAATCACAACAGAATTACATACAAAGACAAGAACATGCAAGTCCGCTGATCTGGAGGTATTACTAAAATATGTAAGACATATGAAGCCCATAATTTTCATAATATCCATAAGACTTTAATTCATTTAACCTCATCTTAAATCATCTCGTCTCTCAAACATTTTCCTGTTAATGCACAACTGTATGAAGTGGTTTAGCAGAAGAAAGTGGGATATTACAACCTTTGCTATTTTATATTCAAATACATTGCCATACTCTCATGCAAGGAGATAATCATAACACTCCTTTAATGTTTGTATTAATACTGTAGTTTAAATTGGAAATACTGTGAATTAGGAATCTTCATCTTCGTTCAACCACAAATGTATACTTAAAGACATAAGAAAAGTTACCATACTTCGAACAAACCCTGCCCCATTTTTAAAAACATATTCAAGTTTCAGTGACAAAAGTAAACCCAATGTGTAAATACACATTCATCTTTTTTGAAGTCCTAGTCTTTACTCTCAACGGATCAGTGGATCTTTAAACGTCCCCATCCCTACCAGAGGTCAGACACACAGAGAAGAGCAAACTTAAAGAAGGGCAATGGAGATGTAAAAAGTGGTACAAAATGAATGATAACTCTTTGAAGCACTGGTAGAAATGGAGAATTAGTGGTTCAGAGTAAATCCAAATCTTACATCTTTGCTTCAGGCAGGTAAAAAAAAAATATCATTCTAGTTCAGTAGTAAACTTTACTTCATTTCTCCAGGTTTTAGGGCTGAAAATGAATCCCCTGCAGATGTGGTTTTCTGTACTTCCGGAGCTCAGCAGCAGCTAGGGAAGAAAACAGATATAGTTCCTCTTTTTTTCAGATTGCAACTTCCTAAGATTACCCACTTTTCCCTTCTGACCTGGGTTATTGTGTCAGATGAGCCCTCCTCAATAAAAGCGGAGATTTGAGGATACAGTTTTCTATTCCAACCACCTATTTAAAAATAAGGTATTTGGAAGACAATAGCAAGACCTATATGCCTGCTGTCTAAAGCCTGCAAATTATGGCAGGGCAATTGCTTCTCCTGTTGCTAGGAGAACAGCCTGGAAGCACAGGGTTTTGCATAGGCTCTCTTCTTCATCACGAAGGGCAAGTTCCATTGGGAAAGATTAGCAAGGAGTGCTATTGTCACCTTACACTGTATTTAGAAATGAGAAGATGAACTTAAATTTGCTTGTATCTTGAGAGTTTCAGTAGTTATTCCTACTTCCCCTCTTTCCATTCTATAACTTTAGCTTTATATGGCATGAGAACAAAAGCTGGAAAAATGCAACCTGACAAGTTTTAAAGTCAGTCCAGGACTGCAAAATAAATCCTAGGTCAAGATTATTGATTACTTGGCATTCATTGCAGACAGCATCAAAAAGGTAAGAAAGATGAAAACCTAATTTTTTTTTTTTTACCAAGGTTATTGAAAATAAAACAAAGGAATGATTTTTTTTTTTTCCAATTTAAAATGAATGTCTCAACAGCTAAAATATTTGAAAGATAACAGCTAGTAAAGTCACGGACAATTTTAACCTAGTATAGAGTTCTGTCTAAACTTAGTAACTCGAATGAACCAATTAAGTTTCTTTTGTTCATATTTCTATTAACCCCAAAATGTCAAGAACAATTGTAAGTTAATGGGTTGGATGTATTTGACATAGCGTGCATTTATATTTGACCACGTGTTCAAGAAGGCCGATTACCATTGTACAGGTACCGTAAGCTAGAATTAAACCCACTGTCAGCTGCAATTAAAAATTTTTTTTCAGGTAAGCCTGCAACCACATAAAAATTATTTCCTGAACATTACAGGTGGTTAAAAAAATACCCAATTTTTGGATACCAGATTGAAGTCCTTGGGAAGATTTCTCAACAGGTCTCTTCCACTTCTGATAGAATACATCTACTCATGCTGCAATCATTCCTTGATAAGAATTGTTTTTTTGTTTTAAAGACATCTTCAGAAACATAAAAATTTCTAGTTTCCTTATCTCCTGCTGCATTATCACAAGTACCTGTGCCACAGGTACGTATATGTATCACTCATGGGCTTTTCTTTTTTGGCAAGGAAAAACAACATGTATCTACTCCAACAGCAGAGGATAGTTCTCAGTAGCCCACAGGTTTCTAAATGACTTAGATGACATCAGCTTGTCAGCAGCTACTACAGCAGGAAACACTATGGCCTGAGAATCCATTTCATAATATTAATTCTAAGCCACAACAGGCCATACAGCATTGCTTAACAGGTAACATTCACCTCACACTGATAGCTAATATAAGTCTAGACAGCTTTCAAGTCACCTGCAGTTCAACATATTTAAGTGAAATTGAGTGGTACATAAACCTTATATAGGATGTTTACACCGGACTAACATTTATTTTGCACATAAAATACAAGCTTGCTGCTGAGTGATGAAAGAGGCAAAGGAGGAAAAAACAGCAGAGATCAGAAATGAGGACAGTTCTAATTAATATAAGCAGAAGTACAGCATAGCATACAAGACAAAATTGCTCTTTGGAGACAAAGGGTGGTTTATTAGCAGTTTCAGAAGAGCAATTTTACACTTTAAGACATCAGTTCAATAGTCTCCAGAGTGAAGGCTACTGCTTTCACTACTGAGCTGTTGTTTGGCTCAGTATTACAGTTCCCAATTTGATCCTGCCTCAAACAGAAGCTTCCATGGTTGGTAGCACTGAAAACACAAATTAAAACTTTGAGAAATTACATTAGCAAGAAAAAACTACTCACCCTCATCTACCACAGCTTTGTTTTGAAGTCAAGGTTGCTTGAACATCTCCAATTTAACTGTTCACACCCTGAAAGATCTTCAATTTTCCATACTTAAAGAGATCCACCATTGGTCCTCTACTGCTGCAAACTTTAAAGAAACTTAAGTGATTAAGGGAACTATAAAATAAGGAGGATGTTCCCAATATAAGGATATACTAAACTATTTGTGAATTAAATAGGTAACAGTAAGAAGCTATATAGTCATACCATTGTGCACTTACACACGCTTGGAAATTCCAATGAGGAACACATTTCGCCATCAATACCATTACTTCAGCAAAGCACCACTCTGTGAACACTGTACTGTTTCTTATACCACCACTAACCTAGTAACCTTTAAACATATCACACTGTAACACAAGTTCTTTCATAGATTATGGAAAGTCAAAGAGCAGAATTGCTTTCAAGACTCCACAGTACTCCTCAGAAATTCATTGTTATCAAATATAATTTTAAGAATTGTTTGCCAGAACTGCCCATTCACCATGAAACTACTCCCAGAAGTAAGCAATGAGTTTAGAATAGTTCTCAGTTCACTAACAAAGAGATGTGTTATCTTTGAGTGGATAGAGATAGATCCTGAGGGACAGATCTTGACTGCCTTTTGCTTCTCTGTTGGGTTTTGTCCATTCACTGACAGTTACTGATAGCTATCAATTTAAGAAGCATTCTCAGTCCCTCATCTTAAATTCTCATTCACAGATGACTTATTAGGGCAAAAAGAAATCAAGCAACTAGCAGAAGTACTCAAACTATGGTAACACAGGAAACTACTGTAATACAGACTTCCCTTAGATGCACCGAGCTTTGAGATTTAGCCTGAAGTTGTGGATGCGACAGTACAAACAAGTTAATGAATTGTGTTGGTGCCCCCTATATATTGTTACACTGCATTCAGTTAATGTCAGTAGGAAGCCTGCATACTCTTGCTTTCTCTCTGACTTGAAGAGACATGCATTTCCTGATCTTACTTCCAAGTAGGTTCTAGATATGAGCTTTTCCAAAACTAAAGAGAAAAGCAGAGTCAAGTGAAAGTCCTGTGCTTATCTCATGTATTTTAGAGGAAAGTGCTAGACTTCACTGTGGTTGACCTTGCACGGTCAATCTATGAGGCTGCTTCATCTTCAGCATGTTTCCCTCCACAGCAGGGGGAAAACAGAGCAACTTTTGAAGCCACATAGACAGAACCAAGTTTAAGAAAATAAAAAACACCACAGAAAAATCTAACAAAGTATTGAATGACAGTACACATTAACTGCTTAGGTCAGTGTTTACTGCAGCTCACCAGGAGCTGAGAAACCAAGCCTCACTGCCCTGCAACTGCTTCTGGATCATGCTAACCCTCCAGCACCTCAAAGCCAAGATCCTTAGGAAGACAAGGTCACACCTTAGAAAGTAAGAGAAACTACGAGCTCTACAGAAGCTGTAAAAATCAACAGATACACAGCATTTCACATTTGTAAGAACATCTGCTTCTGGCTTCCAACCCAACTAAATTCAGTGGCAGCTCAGTTGCTAAACCCAATTTCAGGACTAAACTCTCCAGTCAAGTGCTGCCTCATATACAGCAAGCAAAGATCACAGAGCAAATAAAATGGTACACATATAGCAGCTGTAGTAGTATGGTTCCTATTAACTTATCTCCCCTTTACCTCCCATAAGCCTTCTAATTCCTGGATTCCTCTTGGCTTGTACAGAATTCTGCTGACACAGGTAAAGGGGCAAATAGCAATCACTGACTTGCTTGCATTGATTCTGCCACGGAGAAGCATAAACAAAGTCTTCAAAGGGCCTGATCCAACCTCTTACTGGAAAGCCAATGCCATTCCTCACTAAATACATAAGTAACAGATGTCTAAAGGGAAGGTCAAACATCTGTGCACAAGATGTACATAATCCTACACAAAACCACCAATTCATCATCCTCATGCAGATAATATAGATATTTTGCTGAGGAACTCTCAAAGACTTCGTTTCTAAGTTCAGCTAGGAATTTGTTTGAGTAACTTCAGGAAACCTAGGGGAAGAGGGAATTATAAAGGTAACAGCAGAAGTAATGTGTGTTTAAATCACTTCCATAATTTTCCTGTGAAACTAAATGTACTGAAGATGCTTTTTGCTCATTTTCAAAGAGCATCTGGTCTTCTCTAAACAGCTGAAGCACAATGAAAGTGTCAGTCCAAGTAAAGGAAAACGCATAGCTTAAGCAATGCCCACATCACACTGCTGTTACTAGAGGTGCTCTGCAGCAAACCTAAACTAAACCAAAAGGTCTGTCAGGACAAAAGTCTTCTGAATATTTCTTATTTGTATTCAATAAGAAAAATTCATTTGAAGATGCCACGAAAAACAGTTTCTGACAGTAGTTTACTGGTACTACAGATGGTAAAACTCCTGAAGCCTCCAAAACAGAACAACATTTAGCAGTCCATCAATCTAATGAATTGCTTACTTGTGCTACAGACCTAGCTTCATGCCCTGGATCTAGACTTAGTGGAAAGTTGCAAGCAAAGGATGGTATTGCAGTATGCTGGGTCCTGTGCTGTGGTAGTATAAATACAGGCCTGTAGGAGCTCATAGATTTTTGCTGTATTTTTGTGTTTAAATAAAATAGAAAGAATAAGAAATGGTCATATTGTTTGTTTCCACTTCAACTAGTTATCCTATAGTTAGGCTTCAAAATGTAGTGTTCTCAGTTTATTTGTAGGATAAGAACAATAGCATCAATAAAGATAACGAGAAAAGACTCAAGACTCTGTAACAGGGCAAGAGAATGAGATGCCATACAAAATAAATAAGGACCAGTAAGTCAGACCTTGTCAATAACATAGGTCAGCAAGAATGTCTAGGAGTAAGCCTGTACAAGGTATTTGCAATTAAGAAAAGACAATCCTTTGACCTCATGACAAGTCTTCCAAGCTGAATTTCCCTTGGCTACAATTAAAATTACTGTTTGGATTGGCTAACCCTTTATGCACACATACCCTGAGCTTTTATAGTATTTGCTCTTTAAGGTGAAAGGAAGAGATCATGATTGCAAAAGAGGTCGGGTCTAGAACTGAATTGAAGTGGGAGTTGCCACTGGCAAATTTCACTTCCCCTCCTTAATTACTAACTTCACTATTAAAAAACAAACAAAAAAAAACCACAGATTTACTTTCAAGGCAAGATTCATATTGTCTTTTCCCTTGTTTATCCATAAGTTGCATTTTGTTAATTTGATTTAATTAGATCAGCCCACATCTCTCTTAAATAATATTGAGTGTTCAGACTCCAGATGTACATCCAATGACTAATAGTGCTCTCTTAATAGAGGCTAATCATTCTCATGGCTTCCAGTCATGCTCTGGTTTTTCCAGCAATATTCACAAACTTTGCAAACACTATGAAGAAAGTAGAAGACACAGATCATTGTTTAGTGAAAATATGCCTCTACCTATTGTCTGGTGACCTAGAGCAATACCAGCAATGAATGTAGGAATACATCTACTTGGCATACTGCTATGTGCTTCTTACAGCATTCCATATAATTCTGACACAAACTAATTCAAGAGATGAATTAACTATATCTGCAGTTATTATATATCAACATAGCTTCATTACAGCTAATAGAAATATACCAATTTATGCTACAATACATTTTAATTTTAAAATCTTTACTAAGCCACAATATGATGCAGAGACATTACTTAATCATTTGTTCCCTTTCTCCAAATTTTCTTCCCAGTGAAGTATAACAGCAGTGAAAAATTGAAAGGGGCAGGGACACACTCAAAATTGCATACAACACTGAAGAAGGATGCATAACAGTACTTACCTTGCTCATTGTGCAAGTCACTTTTCTAATCCCACTGTTCTTCTGTGTTTCATCAACTTTGAGAGGGAGAGATTTTACACCCACATGTGTGTATATATATCTATATATATTTTTTTTTTTAAAGTCTCCTTCCCCCCCCATTATTCTATGAACTGGCAAAAAATCTAGTCGATTACCGCATTGCATGTGGGGGGAAAAAAAAAAAAAAAAAAAGGACAAAGAATTGGAAAAGATACAGATTTCCCTGGCTTTCAGAAGATAACATTTCATGCCACAATGATTTTTTAAAAGGAATTGAAAGTCTGAATAGTTTGAGAATAAATTACTCCAATATAAAGTGAGCTCTCATTCACCAATACTCAGAAATAGCTTAAGCAGAGATAAAATAATGTGTATTGTAATTAATATTTTAATTTGCTAAAAAAAGCTAAATAGTGATTAAACCCTTTCTCCTCCTCCCTTCCCCTGGTAATAATGAAGACAGGCAATTTCAAGAGAAGCAGAACAGCCAGGAGTTTAATGTCATTGATTAAGAACATGTTTCCATGGTGGCTATTATGTCCCCCTTTAAAAGAAGAAAACAAAACGAAGCCTTATTTCCTTTTAGACCTACAGGGCTTCTTCAGAGTCTCCATAAGACAGACAACAAGAAAATGTTTAGGGATAATTAAAGGCAATTAGGCTCATCAAGGCTCATTTCTGGTCTAGCTCCACTTCTTCTCCCTACAATGTGTGCTAATTGCTGCTTCAACATACCAAGTAGCATGTTTTTTTTTTTTTTTTTTATTTCTAGAACAAGACTATTTGGTCATTACCAGCATTTGACAGTGTGAATAAGAGACTCCTGATTAGCTTTTTGTTTGCTTTTTTAAAAGTTTATACTACATGTCCTATTGAAGATAGTAAAGAATACTAAATTAACTCTTTGCAATTGCGCAGTACCTTCTGCTAGAAGATTTCAAAACTCTAGGCAAGCATTAATGAATTAATTCTTTCCACCGTTATGCATAATAGGTATCAACACCATAATTTTGCAGACCAGCAAACAGGGACAAAGAGGTTGGGTAGCACATTTAGCATTACAGTCAACATATAATGATGCTGGTTCCCTGTTTGCACAATAAAAATATTAGCTTGCCTGCAATAAGCACACCTCCTGTGTAATTTTATTTCTCTTGTTATATCTACTTTTGGTTCCTTGATAGCCAAGTAATTGAAGATATTTAAATGCTAAACTTTAAAGGTAAGTATTGTTCTGCTCACAGAGAAGCAAAACTGCTTCTGACATGTACTCAGTGATACCAGGCAAGGTATTGAAAGGCAGGTCAATAATCATGCACAGAAAAAAAAGAAAAAAAAAAGCTGAACTCACCCAACTGATGAATGCACTCTCCAGCCATGCAGCACTTCTCAAGAAGCAGCATAGCTTGAGAGAAACTCTCAGCAGCTGGCTCCACCCAGGGTCCACTCTCCCGTTCACATTGGGAACACAGGTGCAAACAATCTGCCTGTACTCCCTGTGCCAGCCACAGCCCTTCACCAGGTGCTCAATCACTGGCTCAAGCTGCAACCTAACAGTTCCCCCACAAATACCTAGAGAAGAAATTCTTAAGAGGAACTTGTCCAGAACTAGACACAAAAAGATTCAAGTGTTGTAGTAGAGGATGTTCAGTAGCTTAGCCATTGGAAGTACAAAAGTTTCATTAGCACTCTTCAACTCCAAATTCATGACAGCACCGTCGTGACCAGCTCAACTTCTATAGGTTCCATGAAAAACTGCAATCCACCTACCCAAATCGACATCTTGCCAGTCTTGAAAGTAGTTGGATGACAAACAAATTTAAATTTTTTCATCAGTACGCTGTTTTGATAGGTAAGAGAATTGAAATGTACAAAAGAGGAGAGACCTACACTCAGTTTACCACACTATGGCTGTCTAATCCAGCTACGTTAAAAACTACGTAACAAGGTATCACAGTCACAACACCCATTCCATTATCCTGAAAAATATTTAGGATCTCAATGTTTTAAAGACATTATAACATGCTGCTTCAGCTCCAATAACTGAACTGCACGGTATCATGTTATCTGACAATGGAGATCCTGCAAAATCCACCCAATAAGCAGGATCCTGCTGCTACTTTTCTGCATTTCACATGTAGAATTGACACCAGTTCTGCAGCTTTAAAGCACTCTCAGCTATCATCCACTCCCAAGTAATAAAAGAAAGTCACAACTATTACTGATGTTACGTTAGCTACACCTATGTTTTCTTTCGGAGCTTGAGAAATAACAAAGGAAACACCAGACCTTTTACAAAAGTATCTTAACGCTCATGTGGAAATTGGTATATGCAGGTTTAAGTAGAGATGGCATTACCACTTCCTAGGATAAATAATAAAGTTTTTTTTGGTGCACAAAAGTATGTTTTCTAACAGAAATGGTTGGCTGTAGATTTCAAGCAGTAAGCTGTGCTTCTGTGCAGTCACAAATTGAAGCTGAGAGCTATAGTCTCTCTCCGTGCTTCAAGCACAGCTGTCTCTACTGCTACTCATCAGTCTTTGCTCAAGGCAAGTAAGGAGGACCATGAAAAACATTTCGGCTGCAATTAGACTATTTCTTCCCCAGTACTAAAAATGACTCCTTCATACAAGTTTTACTAACACCACTAAAATCTAAGCATGCCTTAAGTTGTTAAATTAGAATGCATTTTCTACCTGTTTACATTATAAATCTCACTGTACCTGTCTCCTTGTAGACACCTGTTATTTTCCCAGATATACAAGCAGAGCTATTGTAGCAATTAAACAGATCAATGCCATGAGAAAGCTGTTACAACAAAGGTATGATAACAGAAAGACCAAGACAATAGAGAGGGGCTATAAAGAAAGAAGATTGCTCACCCATTTCAGAAAAGTCCAGATTCATGGAGAAAAACTTCACTAAGGGGAGGCCTCCAGAAAAAGATCCTTACCTAAGGGCAGTCACCACTTAAATGAGGCCTAAGAGAGGTGGAACAAGGCTCCACCCCTTCTAGTCACATAGATGAATTGCCTTCACCTGTGCTCCCAGGGCTGAATAGGTCTTTTCTCCAGGTGCTCAATCAGTGGTTCAGCCCATGGCTCAACAGTTACCGTACAACTGTGCACTGACTTTAACTGAGAAAATTGAAATAAACCTTGCTTTATGAGTTTGTGTATGAGAGGCCCTCTACTTAACAACTCCCAATAAAATGTGTTTTGGGATGAAAATAGAATGATTATACTTTTCCTCAATGGAACTATAGTGTTTTTACAGATATTGTGAAAACAGAAAGCAACGATTTGCATGTTAATAGAAGGATTATGATTTAATAAAAGAATATAGTACACTTGAAATAGTTAGAGATAAACAAAATGGCATAACTCATTCTTAAAATAAAACTACTTTCTTCACTTCCCAGAAGCTGTTCCCATTCTCAGCATATGCCCCTCCACTCAGATAATGTCTTTACGCTGCTAAAAATTAGATATACAGTGTACTATATTCTTTCAGCTCCTTGGAATTCTGAACCAGTAGAAACAGAAGAATTTCTCATATTCATAAATCAAATCAACTTTTAAAAACTTTTAAAAAACATTTACATCCACAGTTCTTTCTAGCAGACCTTCTAAGTTATAACTATTACATCTGCATTAACAAGCGTGTGGCCAGTAGGTTGAGGGAGGTTCTCCTCCCCCGCTACACTGCACTGGTGAGGCCACATCTGGAGTACGGTGTCCAGTTCTGGGCTCATCAGTTCAAAAAAGACAGGGAACTGCTGGAGAGAGTCCAGCAGAGTGCCACTAAGATGATTAAGGTCCTGTAGCATTTCCCTTATAGGAAAAGACTGAAAGCTGGGGCTGTTCAGCCTGGAGAAAACTGAGAAAGGATCTGATCAATGTTTACAAATATCTAAAGGGCAGGTGTCGAGTGGATTGGGCCAACCTCTTTTCAGCATTGCCTAGTGACAGACTAAGGGGTAATAAACACAAACTGTCCCATATAAACATGAGAAAAACCATCTCTGAGAGTGACAGAACACTGGAGCAGGCTGCCCAGAGGAGTTGTGGAATCTCCTTCTCTGGAGATATTCAAAATTCACCTGGACAGTTTCCTGTGTAACCCTACTGCAAGGAACCTGCTTTAGCTGGGGGAGTTGGACTAGATGATCTCCAGACATCCCTTCTAACTCTTCTGATCCTGTGACTAAATCCTGAACAATATCTGATCTAAGACCTAATTCAACCATATCCCGCATAAAGCTTTCCACATAGAGGATAACACATTATTTAGTTGCTTAAAGCTGAACGAGAGCTTAATTTTCTACTCCCTGTGTCCTCACATCTTGCACAATTTCATTCATTTATCTCTGGAAGGGCATACTGCATATATATATATTTGTATATATAAATACCAGACACCTCATATTTGCACTCCAGGCTTTTAACTGAATCCAGTGTTGGAGCATTCTGCATCTAATGAGAATGAGTATGAGAAACCTAAAGTAGAACTTCCAAAGCCTACCTCAGGGAATCCACTTACTTGTAAATTTCCTTTACCTACTACACTTTTGATCAGAGGCAATAGACATTTTCAAAGACCTCAGCTGAGACGGATCCAAGGTTTTCCTTTGCCTGATAACACAAAGACAACTAGATCCTGATCTCATTTAGTCCCTTGAAGATGATCTATTCAGTCTTTAACTACCTCTAATATCAGCTACAAGTTGTTGTGAAATAGCATGCTCATATTTTCTAATACTAAATTTGCTGTCTTAACTGCTTTCAACTCTAATACACTAATGCAGAAACTTTCCCCTTAAATCTTCTCAAAGTGATGGGCTAGATACAAAGATGTTGTATTTCCAGCTGTAACTGCTCCCATATTGCATGAAAACAAAGGTGGGGCAATAGGGCCTTGAAAGAGCTAGAGTTTAAATAGATGAAACACTGCTAAATTACTAGTCACTGTAAGTTTACTTAGCCTCCACTCCCCAGTCAAAGGAAAAGTAATTTCAAGATCCCAAACACATGATTTTATATCCTCATCCCTTCAGCCAGTATATCCCAACCCCACTTCCCCCAGGTTATGCACTCAACAATAACCCCTTGCTGACCATATGCACTGTGGCATTTTATGGGTGGCACTTAATGATTTATGTGAATGGAACTGGTCACTTGTGGTAGACGGCCTTTTCTTTTTTCTCCAAATATCCATTTCAGAACAAGCTTCCATTTTCTGTACGAGTTTTCTCAGTTGTACCTGCTGCAAAAAGGGAAATGGGCAACCTAGCCTGCACAATGTGGGTCTGAATTTTTCAAAGTATTGACTGCTTGTATCTGTGATAAGAGTTACAAACAGGTTTGTGTTTGGTCCACAGTAGGTAAGTACCTGGGACTGTAATTTCTCTGCTGAGGACTCTCAGTAGCTCAGAAATTTTAGTCTCACATACAGTCAGAGCAATAGGCACTCCATCAAAAATCCTATTACTTTGACATAGGCTCCCTATGGGAGTTCATGATGAGCCATTTTAAAGACTTAACCTGTTGGAAAGTATCAAACAGATCGAGTACTTGAAACGCTTTTCCCTCTCTTGCCTTTCCTAAGAGTCCAAATCAGATTTGTTTTTCATGATATGTATATCGGTCTTTCTGCAGCCAGGAGTCCATAGTTGTCTCATACTCTCCACAGCATAGAGATCCAGTGCAATTTGGACTGTGCACAATTGGCATTATTCTTTCAAAGAATAAGATACTTTACAGCCATTATCTCTAAAACAATTCTTTACATAAATATGACCTTAGTACTTACGACAACTTTTGTTTTTCTTAATGTTATTTCAAAAACCTATAGAATGGGCAAGTAAAATATTTTCACACTGTAATAAATAGAAAGCATCCCTATTTTATTTTAAAAGAATGGGGGATTTTAGAATAAAGGCTGGAGAACCCCTGATACCTATCATGAAAATCAACCCTGCTGGAAAACAAAGCACACAGTTACCTATCATTCAATGATGGCAGGACAAAAAGGGCAAAAATTACAATACCTGTGAAAAAGGAATAGTCATTGTTTCAGATTTCAGCTTCCAACTCCCAGGTGTGGTACTTCTATTTTTTATAATACAAGTTTTGCCATGTGCTTCTTACGTTATGAATGAGTCTATTCTGGGGTTGCAGAGGCTGGGTTACAATATGACTAGATACAGGGCAATACAGCTGGAGCGATTTACAACATGTCATTTTTGTGAAAGAAATTGGCACCTAACCTGTAGCATCACTGTTTGTATCTGGTTGAAGGAGATAACACTGTTTGTGAAGTACATCACATTTGTTATCTTGTTATAACATGGATTTCACTGGAAATGACTTGATCTTGTACCACTTGTGAGTAGATGGAAGAAACTTGGCATGGGTGCTTTCATGTAAAGAAGTGAAATGGAAGCCCTTTTGCTAAGATCTCCAATTTAATTTCAAACATACTTACAATTTCATCTGGTAACACAATTCTGACATCATTTACAAATATATTTCTTCAAGAGATCCACAGCATTTTAGTTTTTAATTTGTCCATGATTATAAATCCAGATTATGATCCATGATCAAAATGCTGAGTGCTGAAATCACTCATATGATTTCAATTGCAATTATTACTCAATTGCATATAAGTAATTACACATGAGTGGGAGGAATGGCTGCAAGCATTTCCTTTAATCCTGAAACTTTTCAGACACTCTGACAGCTTTTGGCTTCTAACTGTTCATGGAGAATGTCTATTCTGCCTCTCCTGTTTTTCCTTGACATTTTTGTTCTTCTTGTTGTTCTTACTGAGTAAACTGGCTTCAGGATAGATTTAAGAACATTAACATTGCAACCTGAACAAGTTGGTGGAATCTGTTAAAATGTAAATTTGCTTATATAAATCTTTTCCCCAGTTTTAATTTAGTGCCAATAAAGGGGAAAAAAAAAAGCCCCAGAAATGCCAAATTTAATGCCGGTAAAGGAAAATTAACTGAAACCAGCTGGCAAGACTTAATGTACTTAGATTTTCTCTTTGTTTGGTTTGTAGGCTTTTTTTGAAGACTGAGTTAATCAGTCAAAGTTCAGAGATTCCCATCCAATGAAAATGGAAATAGAAAAAGAAAAGGAGAAAAAGAAAAAGTGAGGAAGTGAGGGAAGGCCTGAAAATACCCAAGGGCACCTCAGTAGAAAGTAACTCATATACATCTACATCATAAATTTCACTGTGAGTTGAAAATGCCAGTTGCAGAGTCCAGCTTGCCTGTTTTTTGTTGCTGGTTTGTTTTTTTTTTTAGTGGTCTCAAGCTAGCAAATTAATAAAACTTTTGTGTTCCTTCTGAACACTTTTTCTTAAGCACTTTTTTATTCTGAGGGTGACTGAGCATGGGAATGGGTTGCTCAGAGAGGTTATGGAGTCTCCTCATTGCATATCTCCAAAAGCTGCCTGGATGTGATGTTGGGTGTCCCTGCTTGAGCAAGGGGGGAGCAGACACCCAGAGATTCCTTCCAAGCTCAGCAATTCTGGGATTCTGAGATCATTCTGATCTGATTTCCCCGCCTTTCAAGTAGTCTTGGTTATACCTTCTTGTGCCTGGCCCATACAGCAGCACTTAGCATGTGGTATGCAGCACTTGGCATTTCTACCTCTGCTTGTACTGTACTGTGGGATATATGATCAAATACTGTCTTGGTGCTTTCACTCTTTCCCTTTTTTTCTTTTCAGCCTTCTGAAAATCCATTCTGTGTTGCTTTAGCAGTTAGCAGAGTTGCTTTTCCATCTTTATTAAAATGTTTACATGTACTAAATGTGAGCTATGAGTTTAGCTAGAAAAGTTAGTTCAGAGATCATCATTTTGGATTACCAGCAATTGGGAGTAGGAGTTCAGCAGATGTGTACAAGCTGCAAGTTACAAAACTTGCAAATGAAATCTTA